GTGTGTGTGGGGGGGGGCCGTGCGCGCGCGCTTGGCTACGGCCAGCACCTCCGCTACGGATGCTCCCTTCACTCCCCGCCCCCGCCCGCTTCCTCCTCCCCGAAGGCTGCACAAGCGCGGAGGGGCGGGGCTCCGGAGGCCACTCCCCTTCTGTCACCACGGTGCTCCTCATTGGCTCCTGGGGGTGTCAGCCCGCCTTCCGAACACCTCGCACTCCCTCGCCCGAGGGTTCGCTTTGCCGCTCGCTCGGGCCACCGACACGTGTATGCTGCCGTTCTTACATGCCAGAATGGACACGTGTCTGCCATGCTGCGGGTTCCAGACTCAAGGAGGCCTTTCTCTCTTCTCTCTCGCTGTCGAATGAATGCAATTTGAGAAAACTTTGAACTGCCTTCGCTCATTGGGTTTGTAGTTTGGGGGAGGTGCCAGGGAAGGCCTTTAATTTATTTATTTACGACACTAGCCACACCCTGCCATGTGTTGCTGTGGTGGTCCACATGGGGGTTCTGAGTGGGAGGTTTGGCCCAATTCTGTCGTGGATGAGGTTCTGCGTGCTCTGTGATTGTAGGTGAACTATAAATCCCAGCAACTACAACTCCCAAATGTCAAGATTCTATTTTCCCCAAACTCCACCAGTGTTCACATTTGGGCATATTGAGTATTCATGTAGAGTTTGGTCCAGATCCATCATTGTTTGTGTCCACAGTGATCTCTGGATGTAGGTGAACTACAACTCCAAAACCAAAGGACACTGCCCACCAAACCCTTCCAGTATTTTCTGTTGGTCATGGGAGAACTGTGTGCCAAGTTTGGTTCAATTCCATTGTTGGTGGGCCACAGCCAAGTTTTTACCATCCTTCTAAAGGACAGGAGGGAGGGGGCTGACCTGATCTCACCAGGAAGGGAGTTCCATAGCCGGGGAGCAATCACCGAGAAGGCCCTGTCTCTTGTCCCCACCAATCGCGCCTGTGACAATGGCAGGATGGAAAGCAAGGCCTCCCCAGAGGCTCTTAATCTCTGCGATGGTTCATAGTGGGAGATGCGTTCAGATAGGTAATTGTATTGTAATATTATTAGTAATATTTCACCTTATATAAATAAAAATGTAATGTTCGTTTGTGGGATTGACATAACTCAAAAGCCACTGGATGTATTGACACGAAATCTGGACACAAGACACGTATCAGGCCAACGAGTGACCATCACTCATAAAAACACTGAAAAACACAGCAAAAGGGACGTAAAAAGCAAATATATATATATACTTACAATGCATGTGCAAAAGCACATGTATACACACACATATATATACACATAAAACATATACACCCAGACTGGGCCACAGCAACGCATGGCAGGGGACAGCTAGTGTAATATAAAATATATAATTATAATATATTATTATTAGCATTATATTGTATTACATTATACTTTTATAAATATTATATGTACATACAATATATTACAGTACATTATATTGTATTATTAGCATAGCACAGGGAACAATGTGGAACTGTCTTCTGGCCCCCTCTCTCTTTACTCTTTAAAACTACATCTCCCAGGCTTCTATAGCATAGAACTAAAATGGTGTGAAACCGCATTAATTCTACAGTGTAGATGTACTCTAGCACACTCTAAAGCAGTGGTTCTCAACCATCCTAATGCCACGACTCCTTAATACAGTTCCTCATGTTGTGGTGACCCCCAACCATAACATTATTCTCATTCCAACTTCATAACTGTCATTTTGCTCCTGTTATGAATCGTCAAGTAAATATCTGATATACAGGGTGTATTTTCATTCACTGGACCAAATTTGGCACAAATACCAATACGCCCAAATTTGAATACTGGTGGGGTTGGGGGGTATTGATTTTGTCATTTGGGAGTTGTCGTTGGTGGGATTTATAGTTCACCACTGTGGAGTCAAACAATGCTGGATCTGGACCAAACTGGCACAAATACTCAATATGCCCAAATGTGAACACTAGTGGAGTTTTGGGGAAAATAGACTTTACATTTGGGAATTGTCGTTGCTGGGATTTATGGTTCACCTACAATCAAAGAGCATTCTGAACTCCACCTGCGATGGAATTGAACCAAACTTGGCACACAGAACTCCCATAATCAACAGAAAATACTGGAAGGGTTTGGGGAGCATTGACCTTGAGTTTTGGGGTTGTAGTTCACCTATATCCAAATAGCACTGTGGACTCAAACAACGATGGATCTGGACCAAACGTGGCAAAGTCCTCAATATGCCGAAATGTGAAAGTCCACAATATGCCCAAATGTGAACACTGGTCGGGTTTGGGGAAAATAGACCTTGACATTTGGGCATTTGGAAGTTGTTGCTGGGATTTATAGTTCAAAGAGCATTCGGAACCCCACCAGTGCCAAAAATTGGGCCAACACAGAACCCCATCGCCAACAGATAATACTGTGTTTTCCGATGGTCTTTGATGACTCCTCTGACACCCCTTGTGACCCCCAGGGGTCCCAACCCCCAGGTTGAGAAATGCTGCTCTTAAAGATACAGCATATTTACAGGTGGATAATTTAAATTGTGTGAGCCATTCTACATTTTTATATAGACTTAATTAAATCTAATTTCTATTTTAGCTACAAAGTTTCAAGTCTTAAAAAAACCCTGAAAATTTCATGGTGAAATTGTCCACATGCTTTTGGATTTCAATGGCTTTTCTGTAGTCAGTGTGACCCAGTGATTCTGCCCATGAAAGCCTTTGACAACACATTGCGTCAATACACTTTGACGGAAATCAGGCTCCATCGATAACCTTCGGTAGATATTCAAGAGGGCAAATCCAGTCAGCCTTTCTTGCCCCATTGTGCTTCTTATGTTTGTTTTCAAACGTTTACAAGTGGAAAATAGCCTTTCTTTTGTAGCTATTGACACTGGCAATGTTGTAGAAATCTGAAAAAGATTATTCACATTCGGAAAAAAACCTCTCCATCACAGACAAGATAGGCTTCCAATGCATTTGGTGGTTTTTCTGCAGGTGCGATCTTTTCCCATTTTCTCCACCACAGGTCAAACTTCTCCATCAGCACCTTGAAGGCATTCATTGTAAAGTTCTGTGCACTTGTTCAAGTTGGATTTCATATGGCCACAATTAATAGAGAGGAACACTTGCAGTTTCTGAACTGCTTCCCTGTGCCTTGTAAACCTTTCTTGAAGTTGACTGCAAAAAAAGTCCAGATTTTTTTTTTGTATCAAGAGTGACTTGAGAAACTGCAAGTCACTTCTGGTGTTAGAGAATTGGCAATCTGCAAGGACATTGCTTAGGGGATTCCCGGATGTTTTGATGTTTTACCATCCTTGTGGGAGGCTTTTCTCGTGCCCCCGCATGGGGAGCTGGAGTTGACAGGGGGAGCTCATCCGCGCTTTCCCCAGATTCAAATCTCTGACCTGTCGGTCTTCAGTCCTGCCAGCACAGGGGTTTAACCCTAGTCCAGAAATGGGATGCAGCCTACTTCACCAGCACCAATGGAATATTATAGACTAAATGTGTACAGAAATGGGATGTACACATTTAGTCTATAATATCCCATTGGAGTTGGTGAAGTTGGCTGCATGTTGCTTTTACAAAAATGCTTTCAACAGATGCGAGGAATCCTAACTTCTCCACTCATAGACTCCACCACTGATCTTGCTGTGTCAAAGATCTCCTGAAATTCTTTCACAGATTCTGTGCATATCTCCCTGGCTTTTTCTTTTTTTTTTCCATAATGATTTTTATTAATGAATAACATAAAAGATATTAAACAAAAATTTTGTACACACGAATGGTTAAAATACCCTATACATATCTATATATTGATTTTTAATACAGCGAAAGTAGAACATCATAAAGAGAGAGTATAAAGATCAGAAAGAAAAGCATAGAAATGTAAAAAGAAAAACAAACAGCAATTACCCCAAAAACTCACCTGACAAACACTTATCAATTTTTCCTGTCACTTCCAGATTGCTTCTAGTGGAATTATTTAATTCCTTTTCCCAATGTTCCTGATGTAAATGCCACTTTGTGTTTAAGTCCTAACCGAGATAATTCTTTATTCTGCATTTATAATCACTTGTATTTGTTCTTTTTAAAATAATAATAATAAAGCTGCTCCAGTCTGTTCTATTTGATTTTGATCTGTTTTGGGCATTTTTTGGGGTTAAAAGGTCCATGTTCATAATGTCCATCACTTTTTCAATCCAGTTTTCTATTGTCACTGTTTTTTTTTTTTTTGCCTTCCAAAATCGTGCTATGCATATTCTAGCCGCTGTGGTGAAATAAAATAAGATATTTTCTTCATTTTTCCCCCTGGCTTTTTCTAAGAGACTGTTCACATGTTGCAGACTACAGAAAACGTTCATATCTATGTAATGTTTTGCTAAGCTGAAGGATGGTGACAGAAGCTTTCTTAGGATTTATTTATTTATCGTGTCATCCGCAACCAGAACATTGTATGACATTTCTAACAGAACAAAACAAACAAACAGATAAAAAAACAATTTTTGCAAACTTGGTAGCTGATTAAATGTCCTTGGACCAGTATCTGGCCACTTGGAGTGCCTCTGGTGTTGCCGCAAGAAGGTCTTCCATCGTGCATGTGGCAGGGCTGGTTATTAGAAGTCCAGCATTCAGAGCAGCTAAAAAGAAGTGTCCAGCTTGGGAAGAAGTCTCACTGTTGTATAGAGGACTCTCTTTTAGTTCTTCAAGTGTTCTCACCACCACACTGTACAGTTCACCAAAACATAAAACAACATGTTGCTCAACCTAACAGTTTTCACAAAATGACAACAGGTTGATTGCTTTTGATTCAGGGAAACTGTCTCTTATGTTTTTCTTCAACAGTTTCAGTCTGATGTATGATGCTCTGAAGAAATTGCACACAGAAGATATTGTTCCTTGACAGTTTCTGACAGATGGAATGTTGCAATCTTTCCTAAGTCTAGATTTAGTGTGTGAGCACTGCAGTGGGTGTAG